CCCCTCTATGCTCCTCTCGGGATCTTGGGCCCCCACGCACACGCTCCCGGTGTGAGTTTTAAGCCACCGGGTCCAAGACTCGAACCGCAGTCGACTACATGGGAGTTCAGCGACATAGCCATTATGCTAACTGCTGGCCCCAATCTTTGGTATTTCTTGACTTACAGATCCATCATTTCGCTATCTGCCTCCTTCATCACTCAGTGCTCTCCACATGCATGCACGTCTGTGTCTGTGCCAAATTTCTTCCTTTTTTTAGAGAATAATTTATTCAATTTGATTTCTTGTTATTATTATTTTTTATCTGACCATAGAGAGAAAGAGAGGGGAAGTGAGAAAGTAAGTCACCAGGTGCAGGACTTGAACCGCAGTCAGCCTTGTGGGAGTCTAGGGTTTTAGCCACTGTGGGAGGCTGCACACCAGCAAATATCGCTGGTTTCTCAGAGAGCAAACAATTACACAATGCCAAAGGTCATGATTGGCTCCGCTTCAAAACCTCACCTTCAAAACCATACTCTGATTGGCCACTTCCCATAGGCTACAGTCACCAGGTGCAGGACTTGAACCGCAGTCAGCCTTGTGGGAGTCTAGGGTTTTAGCCACTGTGGGAGGCTGCACACCAGCAAATATCGCTGGTTTCTCAGAGAGCAAACAATTACACAATGCCAAAGGTCATGATTGGCTCCGCTTCAAAACCTCACCTTCAAAACCATACTCTGATTGGCCACTTCCCATAGGCTACAATTGGCTGCCCTTCAAAACCTCACCTTCAAAACCATACTCTGATTGGCCACTTCCCATAGCAAATCGGTGAGCTTTAGAATCCCTCAGATTTGCATATCTGGCACCTCGTGATTGGTCCACAAAGCAACCAATCATAACCCCACCTTTTACAATCCTTCATTCAACCAGTCACTGCCCACCAACATGTATATAACCACGATCCCTGGCCTACAATCGCCAGACGACCCTGAAGACCTTAAAGAGCTGTGACACCATGTCATCTCCCAACAACCCTGAAGCGCTGTGACACTGTGTCGGATGACCCTGAAGAGTTGTAACACTGTGTCATCTCCACGCTGCTCATCCTGTCTCTCACTCCTTCCCTCAGGAAACCTGTTCAACTGTCCTGTGGATCGGGACAAGCCACCACACCACCTGTCAGCTCCACAGATTTGTTTCTTACAAGGACACCAGTCAGACTAGATTTGGGCCCCCCCTGAACCTAGTATGTCCTGATCTTAACCTAATGGCATCTGGGGTTTTTTGCTATAGGGCACATGCACTCGCCAGAAAGACAGATAGAAAGCGAGAAATCACCCCCCGGAGGGATGGCCACGTCGCAATCCCCTCTCCTCTATCCTCCTCTCAGGATCTTGGACACACATGCACACATGCCTGGCATGAGTTTAAGCCACCGGGTCCAGGACTCGAACCGCGGTTGACTGTGTGGGAGTCCAGCAATGTAGCCATTATGCCAACTGCTGTTCCCAAGACCCTGTTTCTAAATACGGTCATATTCAAAGGTTTCAATGGATACAAATTTAGGGAGGACACTGCAACCCAGTATGCCCCCTGGCTGGTTTTTGTTGTTGTGTTTTTTATTTATTTATTTATTTATTTAGAGTGTTGACAGAGGGCACCTGTGCTTCCTGGGGGCACATGCACTTCCTGGAGAGAGACAAGTAAGTGAGAAAGCGCCCTCAGAGGGTACGGCCATGCTGCAGGTCTCTTTCCTCCGTTCCCCTCTTGAGATTTGGGCACGCACACCACACCCAGCATAACTTCCAAGCCAGCAGGCCCCTGGAGAGGCGGTGATCTCTCCCTTTCTCTTCTCCCCCATTCTCTCCTCAGGATTTTGGGCACACATGTACATGCATCCAGCATGTTTCTCATAGGACTCATATGTTTGCCTAAGAGAGCGACAGAGAGAGAGTGAGAGGGAAAGTAAGAATTCCTCCCCCTTCTGGGAGGGGGTGTGGCCACACCGCAATCCCTTCCCCTCCATTCTCCTCCTGAGACCCTGGGCATGCCACAAACATGCCACACACGTGCCACACACATGCCACACATGTGCCACACACGTGCCACACACGTGCCCAGATTATTTTCTTTCTTTTTCTTTTCTTTTCTTTTTTTGAGAGATTTTTGCTATAGGGTGCGTGCGCTCACCAGAAAGAGAGAGAGAGAGACAGAAAGCGAGAAATCACCCCCTAGGAGGGATGACCACGCTGCAATCTCTTCTCTTCCATTCTCCTCTCAGGATCTTGGGCACGCAGGCACACGCGCCCGGCCTGAGTTTAAGCCGCCGGGTCCAGGCCTCAAACCGTGGTTGACTACATGGGAGTCCAGCGACATAGCCATTACGTCAACTGCTAGTCCCACTCAGATGATTTTCAAGCCGCCAGGTTTGGAACTCAAACCATGGTTGTCCATGTGAGAGTACAGTGCCTTAACCATCAGGCCACCTGCTAGCCCCCACCAGTGTTTTGTTTTCTATAGAATTATTTTATTCTACTAACTTACTTACTTTCTCTTCTTTCTTTCTTTCTCTCTTTCTTTCTCTCTCTCTCCCTTTCTTTCTTTCTTTCTTTCTTTCTTTCTTTCTTTCTTTCTTTCTTTCTTTCTTTCTCTCTCCTTCCTTCCTTCCTTCCTTCCTTCCTTCCTTCCTTCCTTCCTATTTGACCAGAGAGGGACAGTGTGAAAGAGAGAAGGAAAGTGAGAAAGCAAGCCGTCAGGTCCTGGACTCAAACTGCAATCGGCCATGTGGGAGTCCAATGCCCTTAACCCCCACACCACCTGCTGCCCCCCCCCACCTCAGTGTGTATTTCGAGCCTAGGAGTGGGGGATTCAAACCTCGGAGCCCACAATGTGCAGTCCGGCACCTTAATCACCATGCCACCTGCTGGCCCTCCACGCTGTTTCTGCGACCCCTGCTGTTGGTATTAATGTTTGTATCCAGCCCATTCATTTCACTCCTGTGCGGAGCCCGTCGTGGGAGCGTCTCACCACTTACTCCCTCCTCCTGCTGCTGCTGGGACGCATCTTGTTCTCGCGTTCTCCACTTCCGACAAGGACTGCAGTTAATATCCCCGAGCATGTCTCTTAGAGTTTCTTAGGGCAGTTATTTTTCAAACCACCAAGCGAGAGCCATTAGTGGGTTATGAAATCAATTTAGTGGGTTGCAAACACGGTTCCTCCTTTAATGAAATGGAATTACACAGAGCAGGAGATATTAGCCAGGCACTGGAAAGCCACTCCCAGCTAGTGCATAGCCGGGGTATGACACTTGTGTTTCAAGTGCCTGTATTAATGTCCTCATGGGAGCAAATGTCTACACCGGCCACTGCTCCGGAGGAGGATGTGCCTGTCCCGTTGTCCGAAGGTTCAGTGGACGCAACCAAATTGCTCTGCAATGAAGTTTGTGCGTTTACACTCAGGCTCCTTCCCCACGCTTGGCAGAGCCAAAAATGTGACCACGAGTCAGGCTGTGGATTTCCATGCTCTTTTCCGGAGGAGGAAACTGAGGCACAGAGAGGACAGGAAGGCAAAGATCTGGGAAGCAGATCCTGACACCTTGACTGCCTTCACCTGGTCCCTGCCTAGTCTGAGTTGCAACACCAACATCGAAGACTCCACCCGTCAAAGATTCTCAAGTTCTACCAGACAGGGGTGCAGCGATGGGAGATTCACCTCTCATCCTAAGGCCCTCCTCTCCTACTTCTTGACAGTGGGTGTTAGGGGACCAGCAAGTGGTGTGGAGGTTATGGCACTGGATACCCACATGGCCAATTCCCAGGTTCGAGTCCTGTACCTGACGGCTTGAAAATCACGCTCGGCATGCATATGCGCCCAAAATACAGAGAGAAGAACAGAGAAAAGCAATTGCCCCATGGCCATCTCCCTTGGGAGGGGGGGAGGTGACTTTTCACCCCTCTCCCATGAGCACACACACACACCCTATAGCAAAAGCTAGAAAAGGGACAGTTGGTGGTATAGTGGCTAAGACACTGGACTCCCACATGGCTGATCACAATTCGAGTCCTGGATCTGGCAGCATGAAACTCATGTCAGGTGCATGTGCATGGGTACTTAAAATCCCAGGAAGAGAATAGAGGAGGGAGTTGTGGTTGACCATCCTTTCGGGGAGTGATTTCTCACTTTCCTTCTCACTGTCTCTGTCTCTCTCCAACAAACACACACATCCCATGGCAAAAACCTCAAAAAAAAAAAAGAAAGAAAAGAAAAGACCAGCAATTGGCATTATGGTTTATATTGCTAGACTCCCACATATTTGACAGCAGTTCAAGTCTCACACTTAGCTTAAAACACACCGGGCACGTGTGCATGCGTGCCCAAGATCCCAAGAGAAGAATGGAGGAGAAGGGATTGCTGGGGAGGCCATCCCCCTGGAGGGTGATTTCTTACTTTCTGTCTCTCTGTGTCTCTCTGGCTAGTGCACGTGCCCTATAGCAAACATCTCTCTTAAAAAATTAAGTAAGTAAAAGAAAGAGAGTGGATGTTCAATAAACGTTAGCTATTCCCTATACTCTCTGATTGGAAATTGTGGCCCAGAACGGCCTGGTCTCCTGGGGCGTGGCCGGGCAGCCCGGGGGCGTGGCCTGGGTGGCTCGAGGGCGGAGGGACCGACGACCCACAGCGCACCCTGGCGGCTTCCCAGAGCGCAGCCGCATTCGCTGATACAGGTTCCGCAGGTTGGCCAGCCCGAGAGACACTCCCAGCTAGCACTGGGCGGACTCGCTGCACCCCAACCCCCGCAACCTTGAACCCCATCTTTTCACCTCGTCCCTTCGGGACCTAAGGGTCTGCTGCCTTTGGAAATCGGTGTCTAAACCCCAGCCTGGTGTCCCGCAGGCCCCCTGCTGTGAGGAATCCAGGAATTTCGTCGCCAAATTCCTGCCCCCTCTGACACCTACCCCCCAAACCCTGCTTTTAGGGGATCCAGGTCACTCTGCCTTCCTTCTAGAGGACAGAGGGCTAGCGCTGCCTCCTGGAAAGCTCGGCTCTCTGACCTTTAACCCCATGCCACGGTCAGTGACCCTTCAACCACGACTTGGGAGCGGTGTGACCAGGTGCCACCTCTCTGCAAGGTCTGGAGAACGAAGCTCCCAGACCTCGGTTCCCCTGCTTAACAGAAGTCCCAGATGTCCCCCAGCCTCTCTCCCAGTACTTGTCCCCTCTGAAGAGACCCAGGTGTCCCACCTGCAATTCCCATTCATTCCAGAGTCCCCCCTAAACCCACCTCACCCTGCGCAAACCTCACCTCTAAGAAACCCAGGTGCCAGCCCTCCGCCCTGCCCCTCTGGAAACACAGATACCTGTAGTCCCCACCCCGGTCCTCCAGGGCCCGCCCCTCATCCCGCCCCCTCCTGCCCGCACCCGTGGCCCTGCTGCGCCTTTCCCCGCCGCACCCCTCTGTCCCACAGCACCCAAGGGACCCATGGCTGCG